TCAGCGTGTGCATGTGTGTGTTTAAAGACCCACCATACCCTCTCTCTCTTCCATACTGGAGAGAGGCCTCCCTCGCATCTCCCCAGCCTCCATCGTTACATCATCATTGCTACATCTTTTTGCTACCTCAGCGCAAACAACCATTTTGGGACCCCTTGCAGCAGTTGCTCTCCCCCTCAAGGCAATGTTTGAATGGTATTGTTGGAAACCTCCAAGAGGTCAGTGCACCAGAAGTAACACACATCACTGTCAGCCTAGGACAATGCAGTGGAAAGCAAACCTGTCAGCCTATGCAACTGTGACGGCTACACGGAAAACAGACTGCAGATACAGAGCGGGCCTGTGCCGCTTTAAGGAGCGCAGGCGGCACCTGTCCCTTTAAGATCTATTTCTCACAGCTTGTGGGTGCTGGGCTGAACGGGCTAGCCTGAGCCGAGCCGAGCTGCGCTGTGCATGTATGGTAACAGGGGGGAACCGCGCCGCCCAGCCTGCCAGCCCACCACAGGGAATTTGTTTATGTTTCCTCGCTGCCAAGTTCCTGTCAGGAGGCGCCCCAAAGAGGAACTGCAGACTACTCAGTACTGTTAGCTACGCCCTCTCGCCTAGAGTGGCTGGGGTTTTTCTGCATACAGTATCGGGTGGTGCTTTGTAGCAACACTTAAATCCAGGGAGGTCTCTTCATCAATTTCAGCACTCATGCACACACACACTCTATACTTCAAGCACTCACTCTGTTGTTCCATAACCTGCTTTGAGAGCATCTAACTTTATAGAACAAGTTCTAACAGAAAGCTTAATTTATGACCCCCCAAACAGATTAACACCAATTTACTCAAAACACAGTGCATAAAACGGCACAAAGGCATAGTTTCATTAAAGCAACACTTTACGAGTGGCACTTTGTTATGCTGCGGATTATGGGTATTGTAAAAACTGAGCACCACCACATAAAAACACAGTAAACAGGATTGGTAAACTCATGGGCATTAAGTCAAGTACTTGTGGGGAAAAGAGCTAAATCTAAATTACTCTCCCACTAATGCGAAAGAACGAAGCATGCTGGCTTCCACCAACACACAAACATTTCCTCCAATCATGACAAAAATATGATCCATTACCACCAGTGAAACAATGACTGCATCAATTTTTGCACATGAATACAATGCCTCAGCCTGGCATATACATGCTATTTCTTGAGTACCCGCTGCATATGAGCAGCCCTTCTGTCAAGCAAGGTCAGCAAGTGCGTTCTCCATCTTGAGTGCTGTGGCCACCCGCAAGTTTGTCTCTTTGCAAGAAGGAAAGAGTTGCAGTTACGTCAAGGACGCGAGTCGTTATTCCTCATACCATGCATGTGCGATGTTCAGTCAGTGTGTGCGGTAGGAGATAGAGAGATGTGCGTATGTGTGAGTGAGCGGAGGAAGGAGAGGTCAGACAAGGCCACACAAAGGGGCGTGGGACCCAGGATAGTGAGACAGAGGAAGAGATGGAGAGAGAAAAAGGGGAAGAACAAAAGATGGAAGCGTGGATGGAAAGATGGAGGCTGGGGTTGCGGGGGGAGACCGGGTGAAAGCAAAAAAACAGGAAGCCATTTATGTCAGCTTGGATGGCGGGACCACTCCCTGTCACGTGCTGGCACATTTCACTGTTCTGTGACTGTACAGCCAGAAACTCCCCGTTTACACAGGCAATGAAAGGTAAACCAATGGCTGATTGGATGAATGCACAGGGGAAAGGCACTGGCTGCATTTGTCTGAATGACATTCATGCTGTCTCGTCAAACTTCTCCATTTTTTTTAGCTGTGGGTGGAGTGCACACGCACGAGTGAAAAGTTAAATCGATTGAGCATCAGGACTGGCGGCACACTTCTGCTATTCTGCTGACGGTGAGGAAGTAAGATGCCGCACAATATCTTGCTATTCAAATGCCTTACAATAAATGAGCTCAGCAGCACAAAATACCAACTGAGTTTGAAGAAGTAAACTCAACCATGACTCCCCAGATTTGGGGCTTTGTGTAAATCGACTTGGTTAAAGGGGACCTATTGTGCTCATTTTGAGATTCCTAATATATTTTGGGTTTCTACTAGAACATGCTTTCATGTTTTAATGTTCAAAAAGCACCTTATTTTCCTCATACTGTCTCTGCTGGGACACCTGTATTCACCCTCTGTCTGAAACGCTCTGTTTTAGCACCTGTCTCTTTAACCCCCCCTCCTAAGAAAGGCCGGTCTGCTCTGATCGGTCAATGTCTTGGTCTTTCACATTGAGGCGCCTGCACCGCCATTGCAGCCAGGGAATTACTGTAACAGAGTATAGCTGCACTTTCTACCATGAAAATAACAACCATAAAAGCTTTTAAACAGAATCAGACATGTTCCAGCAGGAATATGATCCAAAATAAGGAGATATTAGCAGCATTGGCAACCAAGATTACATGTTTCCCTGGCATTAGCATGTAGCTACATGTAGCAGTTCACTTGCAGCTGGCGAATGACTGTGAATTATCACCAATAACACCTTCTCAACACAACAGGCCATGTTCCAACAGGAATATGATCCAGCATTTAGAGATATTAACAATATCGGCAGCCAAGTTTACATGTTTCCCTGATGCTACATGTAGCATTGTAGGCTACATGATGTAAACATTTGCAGTAGCGTACCTGGAGCAGATAATAGTTTAAAGAAATTGGTCACAATCTGACGTCGGCTTGTCGCTAAAGTAGAAAACCCTGTTGGAAACAGCATTTAGGCCAGTCTAAATTCTAACGTTCTTGCTAACAGGGGTTACTTTTACATAAGTTAGTCTCATTATTTGAAACTTTGGCCACGTTTACTATGAACACTGTAACATTATATACAAGAGAAAATAAGGAAAAACATAATAGGTTCATTTCATTGGAGGGTTGAAGTATTGGAAAGCCCCAGTATGCAACACAATCGCACTACTACACTTAATCACAATGGAGGAACAAAATAATGCCTGAGAGCCATTAGAGCTCCAAACAAACTGGCACAGCCACATAAGAAAGGCAGTTTTCATCTAACATGAGGAACTCTAAAAGAAAAAAAAAATACAAAAGCTGCTGTAGGATGGTGGCAAGACACGAAAAAGACAAAGTCTGGCTAAACAACAAAGGTGTCGAGTGCTGATTATTCAACCCTGTCCAGCTCCGAGGGAGAATAAGAGGTGCCATTACATGGGAACAACTGTGCATAAACAACACATTTTAACTTCCCTGAAGTTTTACATGTGTGAAGTGGAGTTTAAAAAAAAACACAACACTGAGAAAAAACACAGGAGTCCCACTCTAGACAGAGGGAGAGGCAGCGGGCTCGGCAGCCACCACCGACCTACCGCACACAGAGTGTGAATCATTAAAGGCATGTGTTCCACATCAACTGCCGGGGCCGCTTCCCAACCCACGAATGAGACTGGATCTAAATTATGACGGAGAAGGGGGGGTTAAATACCGCTTCACGTGGAGATGAAAACCCCAAACCTGCTAACTCAGAGAGTGAGAGAAACTGGAAAATGACTGCATACAAGTACTGGGTGTACCTTCTGCCAGTTCACAAAACAAAACAGCAATAACCAATGAAGCAGCTAATGGAATAATTAAATGATTTCCAAAAACAGCGATGTGTCATCATGAACAGATGAAGTGTATACAGTTTTATGCCCTCTAAACAACTCAAAGGAGAGCCAAACTGAATCGAAAACTGACCTACTTTACTTCCTGCATGTTTTTCTGGCTGCCTCTGCCAACTTCTAACCTCACAAAAGCTACGACAACACAGTGGGATAACTTTCCCCAAGAAAACAAATCAAAAGGAGAGAGAGGAACTCAGAGCCGAATGCATATAAGACCTAAGTGCCAGCTTTAGTCTTGTCCATCAGGCCAGCCCTATGCCAAACTGGTTGCTAACAGAAGAGTGTCTGCCAGACCACTTGTCATCCCCAGTTACGACACATGGACGTCCTCTGTGGGTGTGAATATGTGTTTGTGTGCAAAAAACACACACCCTCTCTCATGTGGGCATCCAATGAAGGCGGCGATTTGTAGAGGGAGTCTGCATTCTTCTGGGTATTGGCTGGCATCTCGGTACGCATACCATTCTATTTGCTTTATGCCTCCGAGACTGGCATGGGGGGAGGTGTTCGTCTAGGGGGAAGAGATCACCTTTCCCAGGAGTCAGGAGGGGACAGGAGAGGACAGGACAAGACACGACAGAGCAGGACGTGAGAGGAAAACAGTTTGTACAGGCAGGAGAAAGCCAAATAGGACAGGACAGCACAATCTATGCCACAGTCCCGGGGACCTGATGCTATGATTGGCTGAGGGGACTTGACCAACCTTTTTCAGCTCCTTCCTGTCTGTCATCATTGTGGCAACATTCTGGCACACACTATGAAATAGAACAGGAGGAAATGCCAGAATAAAAAAAAAGGTACATAGCTATTCTTTCTGTTGCCACACTGTTTTGCAGCTGACACAAGGAAGATGAATCAGACCCAATAAATCAGTCTATATTCACAGAGTGATGATCCAAGTTCTTCAAGCCAGCTCCTAATGATGAATGGCTGTTTTTGTTTGGTCTTTGTCCCTTGAACATGACAGAGCAAATCTCCCCACTGCCAGCTCCAACTCTGATGCAACAGACCCAGGATTAGACTTGATCCTACCACTGGCGGCACACAGGCCACAAGACAGAGTACCTCCTCTAAACAGTACAGAGTGTGTGTCTGCGTCTCCGCAGGTTTGAAAATACTTCAACTGTACATAAACAGTGACCTTTCACAACAGCAGCTGCGAAACAGTGAAAACGCAGACAAAATTCAATACGACCACAAAACCAACATGGCAGTCACATGATGAGGAACAATGCTATTGTATATAGAGAGCAAGATGGTGTTTGGTACCCACAGACACGAGTGTGGAGTGCACAGAAGTCCAATTACCCAGAGTTGACAGGAGCGACAAATTCGGGCTTACCCCAAAAACGTCAATCTCCCTGTCCTTGGCCAAGGAAATCTTCCCTTGAATCGATTGTAGCTCCTAAGCTCTGCGGAGAAAGGAAGAAAGAGAGAGAAAGAAAGATATTTGAAACCAAGAGCTTTGTGGTCCTTATCCACGTGCTGCAGACTCAGTGACTCCCTAGCCTTTCTGGCATAGAACTGCTTCACTACACGAAAACTCTTACACTCTTTTTCCCTTCCTTCACTCTCATACTCCCTGTAATCTCCCCGCCCTTCTCCAATAGATTGGACTTTCTCACTCACTACATTTGTGCCCCAGACATCATGTGAAAAGTGGAGTAAAACAGTGCTTTTGTGGTGTGTGAATTACCTGGGGCCTAGGACGGCACAGTAGTGCTTATGGCTACAACTCAATTACAGCAATGTGAATCAGGTGGCGGCCTAGAAATCCCCTTAGCCTGATGCACAGATAGGGACACAGAGGCGCCTTCAGTGCCAAGATGGACACAAATCTAAAGTGGCATGTCATCTATTCATAGAAAGACAGCTAGAACTGCACTGTACATGAATGAACGGCCGCCGCAGAGATGGATCTAGTGACGCTGGTTTGGAGCAAGTGTGTGAACAATGCTACGTTGTTTATGCACGTTGCTAAAACATCAGAAGTATTTACAGAATGTCTGGTTGCTAAATTGGAAGAGTCACATGGCACTTAGGTTATCTGATAAACCTGATAAACACCACCTTTGTGTGGCAGAAAGCATGGAAAGCGTTTTGTAGGACTGGGTTCAAAGTGGAAACAGTCAACATTTCAACCTCCACCCCCTCTAGTGTTAGTGGTGCAAAGACAACCGCATCCCTTCCCGTATTCCTCAGAGCCTAACAACTACCAACACCACACGACACACTGCATTTTGTTTTTCACAGTTACTCCTGTTGTTTCACTGTCCGCAAGTTCTGCTACTGGGGATAGTAAAGGCCTTTGCACACCATGTCCATATTTTTCTTTCAAGATTGTTGCATGTTTAAAAATAAATACAACCTTGTGTCAATCATATTTACACACACAGTTTTCAAAGCAGGTTTGATTTTTGGCAATTTTTCGCATCCATCAATAGCCTTAAAGGGTTGTCTGACCAAGACGAAGAGTGAATAAACTGTGACGTAACCTGTGGGACACATACATCTGCAACAAAAGGGAGGAACAGGGCAATAGTTGACAGGTTGCCAACAAGAAGAAGAAGGGGAAATATATGGATGCAGTGTCCTTTTTGAAATCTTCCACAACAAAGAGACTGTGACATAAGCCTATCCAGAAATGCACAACGGCAATGATGATGCTTAGAGCAGAATGCAATAATTCTTAACCTATCATTTCATAACTCAGGGAGATCGCACTGGAGATCTTTCCATTCTGTCCCGTATTGCAAATTTTCAGAACAAATAGGACAATGAAACATATCAAACTCAGTGTGCAGGGTTCTGTGCTTGACAATTTTTATCAGATGATGCAAAAAAAAACCCACATACACAAAAAAAATACAGCACGGTGTGCAAAGGCTTTTACTGCGAAGAACTTAAAGTGATGTTTTTGATAACTGGGGATAGCTACCGATAGCTACTAAAGGGAAATAAAGGCACTCTCCTCTTCCTATTTGGTTGCGCAATGATTGGCGCACTTCCTTTGTCTCGTAAATAGAGCCTTCACTTTCCAGGGAGATCCTACCCAGGTGCTGACAGGATTGCAAAGCGAAAGTGAGGCTTATATGGAACCAATCTAAATGCTGATGGTTTCATTATTCCATAGCCATTACACTGTGCTATCAACATTTACTTCACAGTGATAAGTTAGAGCAAAAAAACATGTCTATTTCCACTTAAACTGAAAACAACTGGACGGAAATTACAGGATGGTGGTTTTCAAATGTTAAAAAGGCACTTTGTTGGATTCAACAGAAATGCCAAACTGAACAATCATGGTCAATAATATTTGAACAGAAAATTGCTTTGTGTCAGAAGCACTCAAAAGCAGTGAGTTTGTCCTGTCTTTCTCTTTGAGGAGAAAACAGAGACCATCTCTTTTCAGCATATCCTGGTTACAGGATCCCTCCAGGTCCCATAAAATATGGAGCTGTGGATGAGGCCCGAGTTTTCCAAAAGCATGTTCAAGAGAAACCAATGACCTTTAAAACTGTGGTCTGTTTGTGTTTATTTCACTGTACAAAGCACTTGTCACAGTCGGGAAGATTGTTTCTATACTTCAGTTAACAAAGACAGCAGTAAGTTATATCAGGACAGAGCTTTCCTGACTGTCATAATAATGGTTGCTCTTTGGAAAGGGTCATCATACCACTACAAATAAAAATCCCCTCCTTCTAGGCCAAAGTGGCCTTGGTACCATTTTACAAGCAGCAAATGAATTTCACACTACTTTATTATCACAAGCTCTTGAGGACAGTTGAACCGTTATAACAGAGATAAATATAGTAGTCTTACAAATATAATGCATTAATCTTTACCACAAAGACTGCTTTCATTTGCACATCACAGAACTCCAACTGGCTACTGTGCAAACCTCCATTCAGTATTAATGAGGAAGAGTTTCAGTGCGTGTAAATGTTGCTCACATGCATCGGCTATAGGCTCACCTTCCTGCTACACGTGCATACTTAGCCTATCTGACAAAGATGGAGGGGGAAGACCAGATGCAAGAGATGCAAAGACATCGCCGCCAAGTGGTGCCTATGCAGATCCTAAAATTATCTTAATTGTAGACCTATGCATTACAAACATATCATGTAATATTTGTACTGTCTAATACCACAAAAGCCATTCACAACAGGGTGTGACACTTACACCATAAACACTTAAAACATAATGCCATGTATTAGCCCTGAAACAAACTTTGTATTCCCTTTTTCGAGCAGGACAGAGGACAAATCTACAAAAAATACACCTTAAAACATAATCTACTTTATAATCCAATACAACATTACAACCTACAGCTGCAAAAAGCACCACAGAATTCAACTAACATTTCTTTGATAAAGTCACAAGACATCCGCGTGTAGTAATTGAACTTTGCGTGTTGCTGGGCTCCTGTTTGCACCGGCATGAATGCATAATTACAGTGTGCCGAAAATGAATCAGCCTGAGTTTGTAGTTTAGAAAACTACACAGTGACTCAATATTTCTTCAATAGGCTTAAATATTTAATTAAATATTTATTTATTTATTTTATTGCAGTTCTAATAAAAGCAAATCATGTGATACACCAGCATTTGTTTACAATTGATTTGCCTTTTAATAGGTTCCGAAATACATATAATAAAAGTAGCAGGTGTGAATTGTGGCTTTGCATCAGACCATATCTCCATTCAGTCAAAGCATGGCCCTGGCGCACTGCTTTGCATGTGACCACTGAGAGTAAAACTGTATGTGGCATTCAGCCTATTACAGTGTTTCCTATACATTGATTTATTTGTGGCAGCCTGCCACAATATCAACATTGAGTGCCACATATTGATTTTTTTACTATTTACAATCCCATAGCCGATCAAATAAATTAATTGAAGAACACACCACTCTTCTGTTCAGTTCTGATGCCTGTCTCTGTCTGTGGTCACCACTCTGCAGCCTCACTCAGTGTCACCCCCACAGCACTATCTGATTGGTTACATGTCACGAGAATCAACACTGAAGGCTGTTGTGCCTCTGATGGAAAAAGACAACGCAGACTGGAGCTGTGTGTTGAATGCAAGACGGCAGACATGACTGAAGTTGTAATAAACATCACAATCATCCACGCTGAAGTTGCAAAAACACTCTGTTCTGCTGTTAGTAACAGTAGCTACTGGGTGTAACTTCAGTTGTATCAGTGTAAGAACTGCAAGGAGAGTAAGAAAGAATGAGACGGCGCCTATGATACAGTCATTTCATACACCAGACATATATAACGCCACGTCTGCACTGGAATCATTCATGTGAGTCACCCGTCCTATCACTGTTTGTCACTGTAAGCAGAGACTTCAGTCTGCAGTTCAGTTCATACACTCCAATGATAGACCAGAGAATTATACAGTATCGCTGGACCAGAATCTAATTCTGTTGGACACACTGTACTATATGATCCTGCAATGAAATGCTGGTTGTTACTGCGCCTGACAACACTTTAATGTGTAAGTGCTGCTCACTCCAACCTGGCAATCAGCCAATCAGCTGGCCTGTGCCCAGAGCCTCAATGACTCATCATTCACTTCCTGTCTTATTACACGCCCTCACTTCCTGTTTGTGGATCTGATTGGTGTGTCATTACTGGTCCACTACAGCAAGAACAGCCTAATTTAGATAAAAGGAGCAGGTAGGATAAAATGAGGACAGAGTTTGTGCACGTGCACGTATGGTGTGTGTATGTAAAAGTGTGTGTGTGGAGGTATGCTTGTGCAAGCCTGCAGCCTGTACACTGATGAGAGTGGACAGGAGTAGCCTGGGGTAATCACGTCTTTATCCTTGCTGATGGCTGAAAGCAACTCATTGCAGACACTCACCTTTCTCTCTCAAACACACACACACACACACACACACACACACACACACATATACACGCGCGCACAGAGGGAGAGGAAGGGGCCCTCACTGCTGGAGCCCTGCCAGACAAGTCCATCTGCTTTTAAAATGGAACCCAATTTACCACACCTAGAAGGCCTCAACTGTTCAGGGACCCTCAGCATCACCAAGCAGAGAGCCTGGAACTGTAATACAGCGGGGTCACCTGATCCTCGATGTACGGCCTTGCACCGGCACCTGGGACTGGGATTTGGGTTGCTCAAGTGCTGGTGGTTAAAAAGGTTTGATGGGAGGCAGTCCATCTCTCAAGTAAAATCATTCATCGGCCTTGCGACATTCACTTACTCGTTGTGACAGCAGCACCCCAACACCGCCGCTCAGTACAAATGTGTAAAGGAAACTGATTGCGGGTACGACCGGCAGTCTCCAAGTGCGAGCATACTTGGGAATGGCAGCCCCGCGGCAAGAGTCATGAGCTCACATTAAAACAGACACAATGTGTTGTTTTAACTCGCTTGCT